AAGGTTCATGAACATCAGTTTCCTTGTTATCCCTTTGGTTTTCAAATGTAAGGAAATAAAGGTGAGAGAAACTGGGAGCCCTTTTCCATAAGGTTATATGCACAGTTTACAAAAAGTAGGCTTCTAACATGTTTTCAGTTGTGAGCCAGGTTGCCTGTGATGTTTGACATTCTCTTTTTGTTACATTATCTGTCTGTTGTTGGCCAAAGTCAAAGTGCAGAAGAGTGACCACCACCATTGCTGGGATCCTTGTGTCAGCTACTGCCATACCCACCATCCTGGACATTGCAAGACACCCACCTGGAATCAGACATCCAACCAGGACTATTGTAAATGTAACGTAGCCTATTTTTCTACTTTCTTGATCTGCAAAGTCACAATTGGGACTCCCAGCAATCAATGCTGAAAGGCCCCTGCCTGAAGTTTACTCAAAATCTGTCCCGTGAGCTGTTTCTTCTGGACCAATCTTGCCTTCTCCAATTGTCAAGCCTTCTGTCTCTTCTCCTCTGTGTTCAAGGTCTTTTTGAAGAAGTGGGTATAGTTTACCTGCTCCTCTAGGGACCACTTCCCCCATCCTCAGCACTTCTTGCAAGTGTCTTCCTTGTCCTGTGCATGAGACCCAGTATGTGACATATTTCCCAATTATTTCTAAAAGAATGAGAATGAAGAGGAAATAGGAATCTCTATACTGTGTAGGCTTTAAGAAAGCCCTTTCAGATTTGGCAGATTTAAACATTTTCGTAGGTCAGCAAAGATGCTAACATCAAGGCTGGAAGACTGTTAATTTAGTAATATTTAGCAAGATACTTTGGGAGCGGGAAAAGAATTATCAGCTATTCACTCATTTGATACATATGTTAGGAATACTGGGATACAAAATGACATATTTTATGTCTTGATTGAAATAACAGCGTGGAATTAGAACTGATATGAACAATCAAACACTGAAATGGCTTCTTGTGTATTTTATCCAGCTCTCGTAGCTTCCAACTTTGCATCTCCCACAATGAACACATCAGGGTTGGCCTGCCAGAATTCCAATACTCTACCTCGGAGCAATCATCCCATGAGCCCACGGACCACAATGATGAGGAGAAGACAGAGGAAGAAGGAGCACAAAAGTTCATGTAAGGATCACAGGCGCTTGCAGAGTTATTCAGGCTCATCTTCAAAATTTGATTCCAATTCCTTCCCCTTTTTCTGAAGAATTGAGGGGAATGGACAATATATCCATTTTATCACTGTGATGTGATATGTTCTTGTGGGCTCCCTTTAAATTTCCCCCCAAACTCCAAAACTCTTCCTTCCCATTTAGACTTCTTGTCATACTTTCTTCTAGCTATGTATGAAGAGAGGACAGAGGTACAGGAATGATGGTACACTTAGACGCATATCTTCTTATCAGAGGGGCAGCACTTCTCTCCCAGAAGCTTGTTAAGCATGGTGGCAGTTTGCTTGAGCTGACTGTCTCCCTCATAAGAATGGTTTCTCAGTTTCTCTGTGGAAAATGAAGTGTCCAGTGTTTCCTTGAAGTGCTAACTTGGTTGTGTCCCTCTCTTGTTTCAGTATCATTAGCTTCCAGCACTGTGGGTCCTGGTGGGCAGATTGTTCATACAGAAACAACAGAGGTGATTTTAAGAGGAGACCCCTTGAACGGCTTTGGACTGCAGCTCCAGGGTGGGATCTTTGCTACTGAAACCCTCTCTTCGCCGCCTCTCATCCGTTTCATTGAGCCTGACAGTCCAGCAGAAAGGTTAGAGACCTCTTGGGTTTCAGGTGATGAGGGTAGTGCTCCCACTTGTTGCAGAGGTGTCTCCTCCATCCCAATAGAGATCATACTTTCCTCTGAATTCTAATTGGCAATTACTTGGAGCTTGCGCATCTACCAGGTATAAAAGAAGTATCAAAAGAGCCGGTTCTATTCTATTCTGCTGTACCTTGCAGTGTTTTCAGCGTCTGCTGGGAGGGGCAGCTGAATCAGGATTTTGTGATATTATAGTGGCAATCAGAATTAAACAGTCAAAAGCAGCCTACCATGAAATGGACACAAATCATTAAAATTGCACCATAATTATCCTGACAGCTTGATTAATTCAAAGGGCACTCTGCTCTGTGATCTAAATTTGACCACTTTGCTACAGCACCAGAAGTAATAGATGACTCTGATATTGCATTCATAGCCTGAAGGACAGTGGTAGGTTTGCTTCTTCTCTAAAATAGGGATTCCTTTTCAAAAGTGTGTTTGTGTTTCATAAGTAAGGACTCATATTTGCTTCTTTGGTGCAGTGGCAACAAGCTGGAAGAGTTTTGTAAATATAACACTAATATAGCCATGGTGAAAAATGGAATCAGAGCAAAGAAATCTGGACTGGAGAAACTCAGAAGAGAAATAGTTTATGCTATGTATACAGCATAATTTGTTATAGTAAAATTCTGTGTTTGAATTCTGCTAAGTATAGTGGTACCCAAAAGTAGTAACATTTTACACAGACTTCCATGTAGTCTAAGTGTAGCTATCTTACTCTGAATTCTGACTTATTCTGCCCTGCTTATTGGGTTAAACTTTTATTTGGGGTATAGGAATCACTGACTGCTGCAAGGGATAGTTTTCATAAAATATAAAGTGCAGTCTCTCCCAGTCAATGCAACATTGATGTTTTATTTTCTGCATATTCCATAAATCTTGAAAGTTTATAACTTGAGGCTACACATGTGATCAGCCATATATGATAATCCCCTTAGGACCCAATAAATCTTTGCTTATCTGTGGGCTAGTTAAGTGCAGAAAATATGTTTCATAGTATATTGTGTTCTGTTTAGTAAGTTACAGTTGGGGCAAGGATCATTTCTATTACCCAAACTTTGTCATGATTGAAGATGAACTGTTGTCATTTATGCTCAAAGGCCATGAAATACTTATCTTAGAGATGTCCAGGGAATGGGATTTGTACCTATGGAGGCTAAAGGATTGTTGCTTTTAGAATTTGGAAACAGATTTTTTTTTAAAGTCAGGTTTGTGAGAGGTCCTCAGAAGATACTTTTCCCAAACCAGACTTTCCCCCTGTCTCTTATAGGTCATTTACATTGTCCCAGATTGTCTCTAGGGTGTGGTCAAAAAAGCCAAGTTGGCCACCATAACAGCATGTTCAAAGCTCTGCCTATTTTTATATGTGAAGCTTTGATTGCACCACGTGACTGCCATTTTAATTTTTTTTGACAACACCTTGCAGGCATCTCTGGTATTGTCAAAGTTGTCTCCCAAATGGAAGTATTTAAATCAGGCCATATACAGTACAACTGAGACATTAGCATGTTTGCTGCTGGGACCCTTTCAAGAGCAGAATGGGTTGTCTCAATACCTTATTAATTGGAGGTAATGAAGCAGAGGCTGGATGGCTTCTACCTGGGATGTTAGAGTTGCATCCCATGATGGTTTTGCATTAGGTGGTAGATTGTCCTACTTGGCCTCCAGGATCCCTTGTGACTCTAAAATCAATAAGTTCTTCCTTGCTTTACTTTACAAAATAACATTCTTACTGCTTCTATTTTTATGCTGGCTTTGATTACTATTGTTGCTTTATTTTATAGGTATATTTCATCATGTTGATTTATTCTGTTTAATTTTTGATGATTTTGTTTTCCCTGTTGAATATTCTATTTACTGAAAAGCAGGATAGACACACTAAAAAACAATTTATATACAATTTAAGATTTAAAAATGCCCAGATTCTGCAGACTGTGCATATGCAGACCTTTTGATCCTGTTAAAGATGATTCAAACAGGATAGAGAAGCAAAATTATATTGCGCACCGAGGTGGAAGCCAAAAAAGAAACAAAAATGAAACTTTTCCCTGTCCAAATTATCCTCTGTACATTTTAATTATATGTTCTTCGGATATGGTGAAGCCTTTTGTTGTTAATTGGTTTACATTTCTCACTCAAGGGTGTATGTCTGTCTTTTGGTAGCTCTCATAGTATGACATTTTCAATGTTTTTTCTGCTTTAATTCCTTGTTATTTCACAAATGAAACTGGGCTATGATCTTCAGTTCAGCAACATTGCACCATTTTCCCTATCAAAACAAATTGGTTGACCCAATTTTATGTGAATATGTGGGAAGCTTGTTCAATAAGTTATTACTTATGTGTGATGGGTGAGTGTGAGAATAGCTAACCTAACACTATGAAAAAATACCAACTCCCACTGCTTCTTACACTGGATAAGTAAGAGAAACATGTAAAGATAGATTCACACTTTCAAATTCTTCTCAGCTAATCAAAATATAAATGTTTTTATTACTACTGCTGCTGGTAACAAGGTAAAGGATATGTGGAATTTTGCAAGGATCATCATGATATATTACATGCTTTCCATCTTCCATTAATAGCAGAATTGTTCCATCTTGAAACAATTGATCAAGCAGCCACTCCTCATTAGAATAAAGAGCAAATACTCTTTGTTTAAATTCAGCTGCAGATGCCATCTGGCCATGACAAGGTATTCAGATTTTCTCAGGCACTGAAGAATAATGCTGTAGGCAAGAGGCTTCTGACTCTCATCCAACTGGGAGGATGTCTAAATCACACCACTGAGGTTCAACTATGTCTTTTAGATCGACAGCCTCCCTGATTTTTATGGAGGAATGTTAGCACTAACTTTCTCCTAGAGTCAGATACAGACTTTCCCGGCCAGTTCTGATGAACGTATATGAAGTTGTCATACGCTATGTGAGACTACCCAGGAGTCTTCAAATATTGATTGTTGTTGAAGATGAAGAGGGTGTTGTAGTCTCTTATTATACCCTCTGATGCTGAAAGGGCTTAGTGTCTCTGCTATTCTAGCCCCAACCTCAGGAGAACTAGAGTTCATCTGTTTCATGCTATGTTTCTGTTCTAAGTGGCTTATAGTGCCTCCAAAGCACAGAACAACACAGATGAGGCCATGGAATTGTGAAGGAGGGAGCAAGAATTCATCCCTGCAATCATATTATTCTTCTAAAGAAGTTGGAGCACCTCCAGAGTTTGCCTGGAGTGTGCAGGGAAACAGTTCCCTACCTCTGCATTTTGGGACACAGCTATAGCTCAACCTGATCAGTGGAGGGGGGGCATATAGGGTACCCATGGCTGCTGAATGTCTGTAAAGATAGGAGAGGAAGAAGTTAAAAAGCTCTACCCTTTCAAACAGAGGGAAAAGAGTCTCTGCTACATATCAAATGAGGTTGGCCTGAAATCATTCCAGAGTAACTGATACATAACAGCATTAAAAAAGGCAGTGCTGGATCAGACTATAAGCTCCATTTGTCCATCGCTCTATTTCCACAATGCCCTGTTTTTTATTCTTGTGGCTTCCTGCACCAGCCCACGTTTTCCCAAAAATTGTAGTTAGCATATTACTGGAATAGTAGCTGTTACAACTCATAGCTATTGATAACCTCATCTTCTGTGAATTTGGCCAATCCTTTTCAAAAACCAAGTTGGTGATTGCTACAAGTTATAGGAACTATTTCATCAAATTTATATCATAGGAAGCTGGACTTATATCTGTGAAAGCTCTTCACCCTTCAGCATCCTTAAATTCTTCCAGGATCTAGCTATTATTTATTTTATAGAAGTAAATGTGAAATTTCTTTATACCAAGGCTGTTTCAGCCACATCTTCCCACTATCTGGGACTTGAGTACTGTTATTAACACCACTAAAGTCAGTTCTTTATGTGAATCTATTGTTTTGTTTTATGAAATGTCCTCAATTCTACATGTCTTACTGAATAACTGAGAAAATAAAAAAAAAAGAAAGAAAGAGGAAGAAGGCAAATATCTAATATTTAAAAATAAAAATAAAAAATTTCAAAGATTGGTCATATATATCTAATGGTTCTAGGTGATTTTGTTATTTGTAGATTGGCTTTGTTCATGTTTATCCCTCTGAAGGTTTATGTGAATCTCCAAGTGGATATTCTCTTATTATTTTTTTAGAAAACAATGATCCTGTAAATCCAGCACCATATAAAATTGTCTTGATAGGCCTCAAGTTTTTTATAAGCCTAGTATAGCACAAGAAAGAGAAGTAAAAATTGACTTATGATTTTTTACAGCATGAGTCAGTCTGTTGAATTTATTTTTGAAGGAGTTATATGTGACATCTTGCATCAGTGCCTTTATTAAAGGAAAAAACGGCCATTATTTCATTTCACCAAATTTTATAAAGCTGCAGGATTAGGGCATGAAACATCCTATTAGCTCTGTTCAGTCTACTAATAAGGGAAATAAAATGTTTTGGATTCAGACAACCAAAATATAAAGCATTTGAATTTTCCAAGTATTCAGTTCTTGGGCTAAATTATATATTCCTTCTTGTAATTTTTTCCTATTGATTAGAGATCCAAAGGCCTTTAGACAATTTTGCTAGAAGCTCAGTTCAAGTAATGGATTTTTCCCAGTCTTTGAATGATACATCAGAAACATTCAACAGAGAGAGCTGCTCCTGCAATTCCTCAAATGCTTCTCCAGCCATTTCATTATAATAGCTAAATAGGAAGGTGTTTATACCTAAACGCACCCTTTTCTTTTATAAGCATTAAGATCTACCCAGTGGTTTATGAGTTGCGTGTATTTTCTTGTGGTTTGCCGTAGCTACACCTTAATTTTTGAGAATTTTCAAGGTAATCACCTGATAGTCTTCTTCACTCATTTTAAAATCCTGTCCCTGGAAGGGCAGTTTTGCAGTGGTTCCTGTCCAACACCTCTCTGTCCCCGTATTCTGAGGACTGCTACAACTCACCAATTTATTGTTCAATTCATATTCTAAACTGCCTTGGCCTCCTCTACTGGGGATCTCTTCCTGTGGTTTGATCTTCCTTACTTTTGTATAGCATAATTCTTTTTTTTTTCCCCCCATTCCTGCTGTTCCAAGACTCAGAATGAAAACTATCAATGCAATAAATGTGAGATGAGACAATATAGGAAGTGCATCTTAAAGCACTGCTGGCTTTTCAAACCCCTTAAGCAACACTCGGGTATATCTGGCTTCAAGTCATGAACATACACACACACACACACACACACACACACACAATTACCCGATTTGCTGAGTCCCTGAGGTGAGCTGAATGAGCTGCAACTTGCAATTCTGCACGTAGATATCTAACTTTCAGTGTCATTGGTCTGAGTGACAGTGGGGTCAGGATGGTTAATTGGATTTCTGTGAGAATGAAGTATGCTTCAGACCAGCTTTTCTACCTTTCATATAACACTGATGTTAGTCTTAATGTATCTTTGGACACGTAGAAAGCCACGGAGATGACCTTGGAGAAATGATGCAGAAATAGCTACAAAAATAAAAGCATTCATTGAACTCAGGAGACAGAAAGCATTAGAAAAAGGCTCCACCCAATTCACTGGGGTAGAAGAGGGAGGGAAGGGAAAATGTTGTCAGGCTTTCAAGATTCTGTTATTATAGCCTATATCAATAAAGTAGAGTTCCAGTCATTCTTGTAGAGTCTATTTTATGACTTGGCCTACCTCAAAGGGCTGGCATCTAACTTGAAAACCTGACTATGTTTTCCTTTTCTTCCCTCTTGAACCTCCGTGAATTAGGATAGAGCCAGACTGAGCTTCTTTCTAACACTTTCTCTGTTTCTAGGGCTTAAAGCATGCTACCTGTGACTATCCACAGGATAGAAACAACTATCTATTTTTTATCATTTACTGAATTTATAAGCTGCCTGACTCCATAACGACTCTGGGCATCTCACAATGTAACTTCAAGACAACATAGCCCAGAGTCACTTGGTTGAGATGGGATGCTATGGAAATTAAAATAAATAAAATAAAACAAAACAAAACCCAGACAGTATAAAAGCAGTATCAAAACAAATAAAAAGCAAATGCCTCAAAAAATAAAACTATTTCCAATAAATTAGTCATCCCCACAGAAGCTCCATCACCTACTCAAGCCCAAAGGCCAGATTTTAAGGATTTATTTGAGTTTGTTCAGGATGGGAGCCAGATGAATCTTGGAGGGGGGGGGGATGTCATTCCAGAAGGTAGGTGCTACAGTAGAGGAGGCCCACTTCCTGGGTCGCATCAAATAGCCATGGAACATACCAGCTCTGCTCGATGGTACAGGCAGTCACCACAGGAGACAGATGGTCCTTCAGATAACCAGGCCCTATGCCATGAAGGGCTTTGGGTGTGAACACCTAGAATATTCCTCGCAGTAGTTCTCTAGATGTTTCTAAGGCTCAGCTCTTAGCAGGAATGAGTCACTTTAAAGAGAGTTGTCAGGCATCTATCTGCAGATAGAGCAGAATAATAACTATATTTTGCTGCCCTGATTATCACAATATAATCTTAATGTAGAGTCTTACTCATGTTTGGTCAGATTCACTCTTTGCCTTCTTCCAGTATTGCTCTAGGCATCTCTTTTGGTGTTACATCTCCCAGGGGTCCATTAGTCATTATTTTTCTAGAATAAAGACAATTTTTGTAAAAATTGGTATTAGTTTTTCCATAGAAACTGAAAACATCTGAGTATCCCATTGAACATGTTAGCCATCCATATATATATGAATCCTCTCTTACTTGACTATCTCAAATATGTATGCTTTTAAATTCCCCATCAGTCTTGTTCTTTGATATCATGGGAAAGGAATTTCATGATCTTGATGAATGTCCTTTTCTCTTGACTTCTCCCAATCTTCTTCTTCGCTCTTCATTAAAGGTGTGGCCTACTACAAGTTGGAGACAGAGTACTTTCCATCAACAGCATTGCAACAGAAGATGGGACAATGGAGGAAGCCAACCAGCTGTTGCGGGATGCAGCACTTACTAATAAAGTCGTGCTAGAGATTGAATTTGATGTGGCAGGTATGGACATTTTTTTCAGCCTAATCCCAAATTCCTTTTTAATTGTGTTGCTTTGTCTTCAGTATAGTTAGCAGCAGCATAGAACAGTAGATACCACATTATTTTTAGTGACCCAGAGGCCAGACATGACCCATGATCTTTGTTATTTTTGGCAACTGTATATTGATTTCTGAAGTCAGAACCAGTTTATACCAGCATAATTTCAAGTCATTTTTCAGAAATATAAAATGTAAATATGTATCAACAGTTATGTAGACCAAGTAGGGCTGCTTAAGAGAAAGACTATCAAACAATGGCAAAACAACATTTTGAGCATATAAAATGCCAGAATTCCTCACATGGTAAACAATTTGGTTGGAAAGAACCTCAGATTGTGCTTCTGTAAAATGTCTGTTAATTAAGAGTGAGTTATCTATGAATAGTCTGATTCTGTGTAAGAAAGCTCACTTGTTTTTATATCATTTTTCCAAATTCCTGACTCAGATCAGATCACCAGGCATAAGAATGAGAAAGAGTGTAATTTCTCCTACTATTGGCAATATTTATTATGTTTAAAATTCTCCCTTTCTCCTAAGAGCTCAAAGTGGCATATGTGGTATGAACTACATATGAAATACTCCTTCCACACACTATCACAAAGTTTTCATTTATGTGGTAGATGAAGATGAGAGATGGTGACTACACAAGATTTCTCAGTGATCTTCATGATGGCCAGGAACTGAATCTGGATCTTCCTGGATTTAATTAGCACTTTTACAGTTGCACCATGCTGTAACTAACAAAGGCAGAAAAGTATTCTTCAGTGTCAATTAATGTGGTTATGTTTAGCTGTTACTGGGACACCCACAAAGCTCCAGTTCTCATATCAATAAATGGGAACATGTTGCCTCCCATCTTGCCTGGTGCAGGAACATGGCAACAGTTCCTCCACTCTCCATGTTCTCACAGCTGCCAGCCCCTTTCAGGCTGCTCCTGTCACTAAATAATTGCCAAAGCTCTGATGTGCCTGTAGTTGTAAAACTAAAAATGGCTAAATCTCTGGGGGGAAATAATAACCTGTTGCTTAATTTGGTCTTGTTAAAACATCTGGGATTTCACTTTGTTCTAGAATTGGAGCTGCAAAAATAATCTTTTCAGCTGGTGAGGCTAAGGGAGGGAGGAAGAAATCATTTATGCACAACCCTTTTCTTTCAGGAATGATGTAAATTATAGGATTTCTCTCCTAGATGCTGATCCACAAAAAACACTGACTGTATTTATTCAGTTTATGACCCACCTTTTTGTATGCTGAATGGTATATAAATACTGTATATACATTAATCTAGTAAAGGTCTTTACTGTGCCTATAATTCAAACAGAAATAAAATCACATGCCAAAAGATGTCAAAGATAACTTTAAATGTAAATTTAAGCTATTGTATATTATTGATTACTTGACTGTACTGGACTGAACATACTAAGGAAATATTGTTCATTCATTAAGCATAAGACACAAGCTATTATGAGCTATTAGAAAATATTACAGAAAATGTAAGGCAGCTTCATCCATTATGATCTTCCCATCAATTCTGCCCCAAACTATTCTAATAATGTACTGGAACCCAGCATGATCTGGCCCACCTGCCTTGCACGTTTGGATTCTAGTGGCAGCAATTTCCAGTATGAACATGAAGGTGTACCTGTATGAGAACCCGTGAAGAGGAGAAGTGGCTCATGAAAACAGTGGTCCCTCATCAAATGCCTTTTTGTGAAGGCTGAAATGCATGAAGTAATTTTAAGCTCTGTGCTATACTACTTGTCTTCACATATTGGGAATTAGTATGGGCAGACAAAGCAACAAACCCCATGATCCTCTGTTAAGATCCTGCCCTTTTCATTGGTTTACTTGTTCCACAGAATCCGTCATTCCAAGCAGTGGTACCTTCCATGTGAAACTGCCTAAGAAAAGGGGTGTGGAGCTTGGGATTACAATTAGTTGTAAGTATTTCTAAGTTTCAAGCCATTGTTTGCCATTTCCTCTTCAACAGGAGAATGTTCTGAAGATAATTTTCTGCATTAAATAATTTCAAGACACATCTACCCACCAAGTTAGAATAGTTCCTTACTAGTGATTGATAATGTCTTCTAATATCATTCAAACATCAACATGTTGATAGAGCAGTAATGAGGACAAGCTGTATATTGTCTTAACGATGGCTGGGTGGCGCTGCAAAGTCTCTCCCATCAAGACTTCCTAAGTCCTCCTGACAAGAACTCCTAAGAGTTGCAGATCAGTCATGCTGTTTCAGTGGAGCTCATTTCCAAATGGATAACTTAATAACTTTTTAAAAAGTTAGATGTATATTTTGCCTTTTCTTGAGGAGTTCAAGGGTGCATGTGTCACACTTCCTCCTCCAGTGTTTCCCACAACAATCTTGTAGGACAAAAGTCACCCAGTGACCTTCTCTAGCAGAGGTGAAACTTGAATCTGGATGTCCTGGTCCTAGTTCAACACTACACCATATCAACTCTTTGCTGTTTTGAAGAAATGCATACTATTATCTGAAATTAGCTTGAAACTCTGCCCATATTCCCTATTTCAGACTAATTTTAAGTAGTGCTAGGTGCCCCTTAAAATTAGTGGAATAACATTGCATCATTGTGTGTCCCCAGCGTCGCAGTGTTGGCAAGATGGAAAGGAGTTTCTGCTAAAATACAGCACTGAACCCATATGGGAGCTCCTCTCTGAGCAGCAGAGTTGATACTTCTTGTTTCCTAACTCACACATTCTGAGGAACATGTAATTGAACGGAATATGTAGCAAATGTTATGCTATAGAGTGGTGTTCCTGTTTGGACCATCAACTGGTCAGCTGTGCTGTCCTAGACAATATTCTATTCTTCTCCCATCAGTATTCTAATTGTAAACCTCATTAGGCTATTTCCATGCATATGAGAATATTCATCTAAAGTTTTCTTGGTATTTCTGCAAACCCTGAGGTTCCCCCAACTGTTACTGAGATCTCTCTCTTCTTAATGAATGATGGCACTGGATTATCAAAGGATTGGAATCTGGAGGATGGCAACTGCTGTAAAAATATAAAGGGTGCTACAAAATGATGTACTGTGCTTGAAAACACATACAGTCAATTACCGCTATTTTTTAAATCAAAACCACCTCCCATATAATACATATATTTAATTGAAAATCAAAGAACTGCTTGAGGGTTAAACCTATGAATAGACTCAAAAACTTTAATGAAAGCTTTGTTGTAATAGCTTCTTCAAGGTTTGTTTGGGAGAGTTCTATATTGAAAATTATAATTTTCTCCAGTAGTCATTAAGGCCTTTTGTCCTGTATAATATAATGTGTATGAAAGTATCTGAATTTGTCACTGGGTCAAGGGAATTCAGATATTTGCTTTTAATATGACATAGCTTTCATGTGATAATGTCACATTTCCATAGGATATCATATATTTCAGGTGTAGGAATGTTAGTTGGGGCTTTCAGTTTCTCTGGATGATGAGCGTAAATTTCTAATCCCAAGAGTTTAAAAATAACAAAAACAAAACTGATTTCTCTCTCCCTAAATTAGGCTACTAATCGAAAATCCCTGATCCTTCTCACAAGGGTCTTGGCAGGTTTTTGAATGAAACTGGTTGTATCTATATTTTTAACCACTCAAAACTGAATGCATGAATTGGTCCATTCTCTATTATAGTGGAGGATATAAAAATGTGGATAATAAATTGATACAGCTTGATATAAAAGCCTTGGTAGCTTCTAAACATGTTTTAATTTACAACATCTACTCTTGAATAAATAGATTCTACAGACATTTTCTAGCAGTAATTATTTTTATACAGACTA